CGGGTGTGTCGCATTATTTCTATATAAAGTAATATAAGGCGTTTTTTTTAAAAAAACATTTTATGTCTATTTACCTAATGGACCATAGTTGGATCAATGTAAGATGGTACCTGACATATATTCTATTAAATCTATTATATTTTTCACAAACGCGGAGAAACGAAAAAATAATTTCAAATGAAATGAATTCATTAAAAAAAAAGATTACTAACCTTTGAAGGGACTAATTTCAAAATTATTTTCTTATGTCTTACAAATATATCTCCACTTCTTGCTTTAGATCTGAATCTGCTTAAGAACCAAAGCCCGCGTTAGTGTTAGTGTTACTATTATTATTTTTTTTTAGTTGAAGCAAAATTGTGGGTGTAGATTTATCTTTTAACTAGACCAAGAGTTGATGGCTAAGGCAAACAGCGCTGCCATTCTGGAACTGCTTCTGAAATAGCTAAATATGTCTTTCCTAGCAGTTTTCCCATGATTACGTGCAGCGGCGTAGCGAGGGTGTTTGGACAAGATCCATTTTAAAGCGCCGCTTTTTCTTTTTTTAAACTCTAAAACCCATTATTTTCATCAATAAAATAATATCAAAGCGCATTTTGGCGCCCCTAACTACCTGGCGCCTGGGGACAGATGTCCCCCCTGCACCCTCCTCGCTACGCCTCTGATTGCGTGACAAGTTCACTGACTGCAGTTGACTTAGGCCTATAACTTACACTTTTATAAATTTTCTTTCATTTCATTTGCATCGCATTAGCCATCAAAGTAGTGACTAAAAGCACTCACCCCGCTCATTGGTGAATCTGTAAAAGCACCGAGTACGCTGATTGGTGAATCCCGTTGCTGGATCAACTACACACTTTTCTATGTTATGTTTACATTTCAATTATTTTAAATAGTAATATTAATAATACTTCATGTTCATCAACCCAAATCTCCAGCCTGCCTCGTGTCTGTGACCACGGCAGAAGACACGAACTGGGACTGTCCTTGCGTATCGGGTCTCACTTGCAAGGGTCAAGGAATGTTTGAGATTCCGCTTGGGGAACGAGGTGAATATTAAGTTGGCCGTGGTTCATAAAAAAAAATAAAAAAATTTTAAGATATTTGAAGTCCGTGCATGACTGTAAAACAATTACGATGATCTTGAAAATGTGTATGTTCTTGGTTTTTGTTGATTTTTGTTGTTGCTTTTTTTTTTTTTTTGTTTTTTTTTTTTTTGTCTCCAAGCAAAGAAATGGTATATGTTACTGTAAAACAATTACGATGATCTTGAAAATGTGTATGTTCTTGGTTTTTGTTGATTTTTGTTGTTGCTTTTTTTTTTTTTTTGTTGTTTTTTTGTTTGTCTCCAAGCAAAGAAATGGTATATGTTGGAGTAAGTAAACGTATATTCATTTTTGTAATTGCAATAACATTATTACAGATTTAAGGGTTTTGTGTGTAGGTTTTGTTGAACTAAAAAATCCACTATTGAAATTGTATTTATTTATTTATTTTTAAAAAAAAATTAAGTACATAAATATTTAAATGCCTAAAATTAGTTCATCGAGCTAAGATAATATTTTTTAAGATCGTATTATTTGACATTACTGTATTCACCCCTCCCTTCGTCTCTTCCAGGTCAGTGTGGTTAAGATAGGAATGGTTTAAATCCCACCAATGTTCAAGAGTGATTGGGGCGTCAAAAGTTCAATGGGACATGTCATCCAAACAGAGGGTTGAAACAGGGAAACTTTTGTTGAAATTACTTAAATCTGAACATTGTTTCGTTTAATTTTAGAATCAGAAGTATTTTAAAATAAATTTGAAGCAACTGATAAGTTGTTTTTTTTAAATTATTTTAAGTTTGACTAATTCTGTTAAGTTCTGTCTTAAATCTTGACTAAAAGGTCTTTTAAAAAAATTAATTGACGCTGACTTAAAAAAAAATAAAAAAATAAATTAAAAAAAATAAAAAAATAAAAAAATAAAAAAATAAAATAAAAAAAATCTCACACTTGCACTTGCAGAATGAGGACAAACTCTAAGATTCGTATGTTAATTTGAATATTTTAAAGATTGCAGTTTTAAATCTTTGTTTAAGAGATTTTTTTTTAAAACTCATAAGTCCCCCCCCCCAACCCCCCCCCCCAAAAAAAAAAAAGATAAAAATAAAAAAATTAATTTAAAATAATTAATTTTACGGCATTCTTTGGGATTTCAGTAATATGAAAACGCGTTTTTCAAACTTACTTTTAATGGAAGCAATACATGTGAACTAACAAATAATAAAATTTTGTACCCTGCGAGATTCCAAACAGTTCAACTGTCCCAATTCTTGGTCGAACGAAGAGATTTGCTCTATTCGCGTGCCTCGTTCGCCTTTAGACTTTAGACTAATCCGGAACTGGGCTTACCCTGTTTTCCTCCACCCAATTTTATTATTATTTTTTTTTTTATAAAACTTCTTAAGTTAAGCAACATCTGATTTCATGCCATCGCACTAGAGAAATCCAGTCTGTCGTAATTTAGGGCAGCTTTCATTCATAAACTAAAAAATAGAATAGAGTATTTTGAAAAAAAAAAATTGCATTCAAGCAAGCTATCAATAAACTGTCAACACTGTATTTACATTTTACATTACTCTTAAGTTAGACTTAATCATGAGACTTTGATGTCTGCTGGGTACAAACAGGAGCGTCCCAGTTAAGCAGTCATTGCCCAAGGCGTCCGGTTGTTTTGAAATTTTGTCATGGTTTCAATCTCAATTCTGAAAAATAAAACAGAAATGTTCTGCCTGTCTTGCTAAAGAAATCAATGTGTAATGCCCGTCTTGCTTAAGAAATCAATGTGTAATACCTGTCTTGCTAAACAAATAAGTGTGTAATGTCTGTCTTGCTAAACAAATCAAAATGTAATGTCTGTCTTGCTAAACAAATAAGTGTGAAATGCCTGTCTTGCTAAAGAAGTCAATGTGTAATGTCTGTCTTGCTAAACAAATCAAAATGTAATGTCTGTCTTGCTAAACATATCAATGTGTAATGTCTGTCTTGCTAAGGGAATCAATGTGTAATGCCTGTCTTGCTAAACAAATCAATGTGTAATGTCTGTCTTGCTAAACAAATCAATGTGTAATTTCTGTCTTATTAAACAAATCAATGCGTAATGCATGTCTTGCTAAAGAAATCAGTGTGCAATGCCCGTCTTGCTAAACAAATCAATGTGTAATGTCTGTCTTGCTAAACAAATCAATGTGTAATGTCTGTCTTGCTAAACAAATCAATGTGTAATTTCTGTCTTATTAAACAAATCAATGCGTAATGCATGTCTTGCTAAAGAAATCAGTGTGCAATGCCCGTCTTGCTAAACAAATCAATGTGTAATGTCTGTCTTGCTAAACAAATCAATGTGTAATGTCTGTCTTGCTAAACAAATCAATGTGTAATTTCTGTCTTATTAAACAAATCAATGCGTAATGCATGTCTTGCTAAAGAAATCAGTGTGCAATGCCCGTCTTGCTAAACAAATCAATGTGTAATGTCTGTCTTGCTAAACAAATCAATGTGTAATGTCTGTCTT